GCTGTCCCAAAGGTGTCTGGAAGTGTTATTTGCTCAAGGGGCATAGCTGCTTTGCCGGGTACTATGCCATAGAAAGGTGTAATGGTTGGTGTCATCAACCCTTCACAGTCTAAGCTCATCTTTTTGAGTGTATCTGTGAAAATAATGTTGAGACCGGCTCCTCCGTCGATGAGTACTTTGGTTACAGCCACTCCCGCGATGGTTGGCCCTAGTACCAATGGATAACACCCTGCGTTTGCCTTACTGGTCCATTGATCTTCTCTTGAAAATTGGATAGGATATTCTGACCAGTTGAGATATCTTGGAGTTGCTGGTTCTGCTGCCATAATCGCCCTGTGTGCTAGCTTTTCTTGTTGTTTGCTTCTCGCGTTAGGTACTCCCAAAAATATGACTGCTAACTATCGTTGAGGCTCTGGGTAATCCCCCTCCGCCTTCTTTTCCTCCTTTTTAGGCTCATCTTATTTTCTTTCTGTGCTGTTTTGATAACCATTCTCTCTTCTTACGAATTGTTGCTAAAAGGTGAAACAATCCACCAGCTTGTGCCCTGATCCTGGGTGTATATGACATAGTAAGTTTTTCAAATTTTCTGGTCTTCTTCCGCGGTAATTACTGTTGTGGTAGTTGTTGTTGCCATTGCTGTTGTTGTTATATGTTGTTGTAGTTGTTGTTATTGTATCTCCTCTTGTTGTCTGTGGTAGCTACCATGTTATCTTGTCTTGGCCTTTTGTCATGTTGTCTGTGATCGGTTCTTCCTCTATTTTCCGGGTTGTCTCTGTTAAGAGTGAACCTATGTCGGGTTCTTTCTTCTGATGAGATCAACTTCTCAACCGTTCTCTTAAAATCTTCGTTTGTTCTTGGATTCTCACTATAGTAGTCCTTGAATTGCCAATTTACGAATATCCCTTTGATGAAGGCTTCAATTACTTCTCTATCAGTGATGTCGTGGACTTGTGCTCTGAACTTTCCAAATCTTCTATAATACTCTCTTAGGCTTTCTCCTCTTCGTTGTTTTACTCCTTTTAATTCAGCCACTGTCATTGGATGAGTGATTATGCCTGCAAAGTTGTTGCAAAAGGCTTCTTGCAAGTCTTCCTAGTATTTGATTGATCTTGACCTCAGTTTGTCAAACCATTGGAGTGGCATTGCTTCTAGTGCCATTGGAAAGAAAAGAGCTTTGATATCATCAGCTCCTCCTGCTAGTTCAATAGACTGAGAGTAGACTCTATGCCACTGCCTTGGTTCAACTTTGCCATCGTATTTCGAATGGTTAGCCGGCTTGAACTTGTGTGGTAACTTCATTGTTTGGAACCGCCCGGCAAAGCAGGGGAATCTATTGAAGGGTTCAAACTTCTCGTAATCAGGCGATCTTGCTCTTCTATGATAGGATCTTTCTTCCCTCAACATGGATTCACCTTGTTCGTCATCGAATCTCCTTGAAGGTTCTTGCAATCATTGGCTTGGTTCTGCTTGGTTCTTTTCCTGATGTCTTGAGTAGTGTTCTTGTCTTCCGTTAGTGTTGCTGCTCTCTGTGGGGCCTAGTCTTTGAAAAATTGACTTTTTGGGAGGTTGCTCTCCTTTTTGTTCCTGAGGGAGGTCTTCGCCGGGTTGTTTCTCTAACTCCCCGGCTTCTTTCTTTTGCTCTTCTTTTTCTTTTTCTTTATTCGTGAGAATGTGTAATTACTTTGTTAGTTCTTTAATTCTTTCATTCTTTGTCTTGCGGGCGGCTTCTCTCTCAGCTTTTTTCTTGTTATATTCCGTCAGCCTCAGCTTTATATTTGTTCTAGATTTGCTTTCATTGTTTAGCTCTGTTCCTTTGCCCTGCTTTTGTCTTGTTCTTCTTTATCCTTATCTGCCTCTATTCTTCACTTTCATTACTGTCGCTTTTTTCATCTGGTGAGATGTTGCCTTCTAATTCATCAGACGACCTTATATAAGGGATTTGGGGTGCTAACAAGGGTTGTTCTGATGGTTCTGCCATATATAGGTGTACTTCTGCCGACTTCTTCTGATCCGGCGCTTCGGTCTTCCTTCATCTGAGCTGTTTGTAGTCTCTGAGCTAGATTTACCGAGTTCTTTTCCCTCTTGGTATGGTAACTCTTTGGAATAGTTGTTGTATTGGTTTCTTTCTGAGAAAAAAGAACCCGGCCAATGCACTACGTAGTCTTGTGGGGTTACTGTCATAATTAATAATTCTTGCGCTCCTTCTAGGAGAATTCTTCTCGTCGAGCTCATCCTATTTCGGATGTGGTTCTGATAGCTTGATGCGGAATTGCAAAGTCCAAAGATTGCAGGGTTGTTGCTTTTGACACCTGGTAGCTGACAACTCGGATTGTACTTTTTTACGATGCAGGTTGTATCTTGGAAACTGACAGGGCATGATCCTTGTGCCCTTAAGGTTATTTCCGAGTTGTACTCGTCTTTCGTCTCCTTCTCCGTGTCGGTTTCGTATTAGTCTTCTTCTTCCTTCTGAATTGCTTCAGAAGTCGAAAGGTAAGCTATCTTTTCGGCGAGTTCTTTTTCTTTGATGGGATTGATCTTGTCGTCGAATTCTTTTTCTTCCAGGGGACGGCTTTGCAGCTTGCCGTTGCCATCGGCCTTGCAGATTCAGGATCCGAAAATGAAGGTTGTTCCTGCCGAAAAAGCCATCTTGAGGTCGAGGTCCACCGAGCTCTTGAGAAAAAATTCATCGAAAGCCCCTACCTGGTACGCCAGCTGTCGATGTTTTACCACCGATAGCCTGCCACGGGGGTACCCGGGACAGTTGTTAGGGCTTCGGCGAATAGCGGAACTCGGCAGCTTATGCAAAGAGACTCACGATTTATACTGGCTCAGGCTCTCGACTTGGTCGAGTAATAGCCTTTACGTCCAGTCGGCGTTAGCCTGTTTGTGTTGTATTGCTTTGAGTATTGAGTATGTGTTTTTTACAAGGGATACCCTCAGCAGTCCTTTATAGTCCAGGTGCTGCAGAGAGTTGTTTGAATTCTACTCGGACACGAGGTTAGAGTCCTAAGCTATGCTTTGGGCATCTAGTTCTGATTCTGTACGTCGTTCTGCTACGTGCTCTTCTGTTGATCAGGCCGTCGGCCTGTTGGAGACGGCCCGCTTCCTTGAGATCCTGTCCATGGGGGATCCCGTGGATCCCTCATCGACAATGTCCATATCTGATATAGAAAGAGGAGTGAAGTTAGTAGCTAATTCAGGCAGGTGCGACAGTGCCGCATCCCTGTTGCGACTGTGCCGCACTTTGAATCTCTGCCGGGATTCAGCCTGCAACGGCAGGATCTGTGAGCATGTTGGTATATTTAAAATGCACACAGATAAATCCACAAGCGCACGGATACCATTATAGCTTTTACCCAGAGGGTTTTAAATATCATATCCACAGAGAAACGTGTGAGTCAACTACGTCCTAACTTAACTAGAAGAGGTGAGTAAGTGAAGATAGACTATTGGAGCACTATTGTGAGGTTTTATTGCCGCTCGAGTAAACGAGATGGTCTCTGTGGAGCTCAGATTCTCCGTTAATGGAGTCCAGAGAGAGGGAGGGCTGGCTGGAGGTAGGGGGAAGCCTGATGTGTGGGACCCACCTGGCGGTGACAAGAGTGAGCGGGACCCGTCTGTAAGTGAGAAGAGGCGCTGATGGGCTTTCCGAGCTGGGCCAAGGCCCAAGTGCGAGTATGGGAAGTGTTTATTTGCTGGTGGTTGATGCATTGCTGGAAATTAAATGACCTGCAAGGAAATAAGCTCAATCGAATGGAAATAAAAAGAATGTAGAAAAGGCCAAGGAATTTTTGTAGACAAAAGGAAGGAATGAATTAGATTGAATTCAATGATCTAATTTCATAGAATAAAGATTAGGCAAGGAAGAGATTATGTTGAATTTGACGGTATTATTAAATATGATAAGATAAATAGGCAAGGAAGAAACGATGGGACCCAAGACAGGTTTTAGAATATTTCCAAATGTGTTTTCAAACATATTCTTAAGAAAATATTTTTGAAGAACTATTTTAAAAATTATTTAGATTAAGGTTTAACCACTTTTCAAATGAACTTGTATATCAAACTTGAACTCATTTTTAGAAGTATATTTTGAAATAGAAATTCCAAGATTTTTTTTGTAAATAGAGAAAAGCCCTATTCGTGGCTTAAACGAGTTTCGTAATTCATTTTTCACTCAAATAAATAAATGCAACCAACATGAATGCAACACCCGTAGGAGAATTATTTAGCAAAAAGTTTTAAAGTCATTTTTTCCCTTAACAAAATTGGTAACAAACTAAGTAAAGCTTAGTAAATTTTAAGAGAAATATTAAATCATTTATTGTATTTAGTATTTTCTAGGTCACATCCTAAAATAGAATTTTGGGTTGTGACACATGTCAGCACATTTAATACCCATAAAACTTTATGAAACTTACATTGAGACTGATTAAGATGCATGTAATGGAAATTGGGTTCATATGGAAAAAGGTACTCCCTCTGTTACAAATTAGAAGTCATTCAAAAATCTTGGAGAGTCAAAACATCTCAAGTTTGACCAAAATTATTAAGAGAAATAGAAATATTTATGATACCAAGTAAGTGTACTATAAAAATATAATTGACGAAGAATCTAATAATACTTAGTTGGAATCACAAATATTTTTATCTCATCACATAAGTTTAGTCAAACTTGAAATGTTCACGATTCTTGTACAACTTATAATTTGGGACGGATGGAGTATGGAGGTTTAATAATGTTAGAAGATAATCGCCCTTGCTTGATCGTGTCGTTTGACCTTTTGAAAGAATACGTGTCGTTTGACCTTACTCGTGTCCGAGACGGTTTTTTACAGCAGTCCATCGAGTTCGCATGCAAATCCCGATCCGTTATGGCTAGGAGTCAGATCCGATCCGAAAATCCTGCGATGGTGTATAAATCGAAGAGTGGAGCATACGTTCCCTAACCGGCCGGCACACTATTCGTTGATCCGTCCATCTCTCCGGTGCCCGGCGTGATGCCGCCCGTGCGCCGAGCCCGCCACGCAGATCCCACCGGAAGTCCGTACCCCGACGGTTGGCTGTCGTACCGCCACCGCCGCCGCCGCCGCCTCGTCGAAGGAAACGTACGCGCAAAATCCGACGTCAGTGGCGGCGCGACTCCATCTCCAACCACTCTGCCCGACGACGTGCTCTTTGGGATCTTCTCTCGCGTCTCAGGCTTCACCGACGCCGCGCGCTGTGCCGCGACGTGCCGCCGCTGGGCCCGCGTAGTGGCCACGCGCGCCGCCCCCATCTGCCGTGCCCTGCCACCGCCCCCGCCCGGTGGATTCCTTCCTCACCTCGCGATTGGCGCCTTCCTCCAGCACCAGGAGAACGACGGCGCAAGCCGCCGCCGCCGCGCTCGTGGGGGAGAACCGGCGCAGCTGCGCTTCGTCCCGACGGCATTTGCCTCGCGGCTCATGGGCCCGTTCGCCGGCCTCCTGGGCGAAGGAGGCGCCTCGTTCGACAACGCCCGCCCTGTCGCGTCCCGCAACGGCCGCGTCGTCCTCCAGCTGGGGCGCGAGGCACGCGCCGACGGCCTCACCCTTTGCGTGTGGAACCCCATGACAGGGGACGTGGCCATGGTCCCAACCCTCTCCGGCAAGGAATTCCCCGGGCACGACTACGCATGCGCGATACTCACCGGCGATGACCTCGTCGACGACGTGCCGCCGGGTTTCTTCCGCCTACTCCTTGTCTACGGTCGCCGAGGCTTCACAGCGCTACGGTCCTTCTCCTCGGACACCTGCAGCTGGGGTCTCGAATGCAAGAAGCCCGGTGCCAAGATCAGCGGCCACGTGCTCCGTGAGCTAGGCCCGGCCGTCATGCTCCACGGCGTGGCCTACTGGCCCACGCATCGTGCCGCGTTCGGCGTGCGGCTCGGCAGCACGGCAGCGACGGCGGAGACCATGGACGTGTGCTCGGTGCCATACAGAAATTGTTTATCGAACTGTAAGCTGGACGAGCACGTGCTGGGCGTGTCGGCGGATGGGAGATTGAATTCTGTGGACATAGGGATTATCGGAGCCCTAGGGGTGCCCAAAATTTCCTTCTCGACCTCACTGCTTGAGGACGCCGTCGGCTACAAGAGCACCACCACCTCCGTTGATCCAAGTGACGATCTGGACATCTCCATCACCTTACCCCAGATCAAAGTGCCGAGGACAACCCCCATGAAGCCGTGGTGGTTCGGTGAGAAGAGCGGCACGCTCATCTTCACTGTGGAGGAGGAGACGAGCAGCACAAGTGCCGTGTTCGCGTTGAACGTTGCGACGAGATCACTGGAGAAGCTGGCCGATGGCGTTAGCAACCATACGTGCTGCAGAAGACTGTATGGTTATGAGATGGATCGCGCGGCGCTTCTTGCCTCGGTAGCTCCTCAGTAGCATAGCATGCCCGTGCGATCTCTCTCCATTAATAATGTCAAAATAACCCGGGCAAGGGGCTCCAGCCCCCCCTACGGCCCTGCCTACTACTCCCAATTACTATATTTAGATAAGAGGTTGTGGATCAAATAAAATGCATGCTAATTCATTACTCTGCCGAGTACTATATTTAGATAAGAAGTTGTGGATCAAATACATGCTAATTCCTTACTATTCTTGTTAGCATTAGTCAACTTATTTAGAAGTGCTAAGATGGATAGTCAAGCATGATCAACATGTTTTCACCGTCACCTGGCGTCTATAAGTTTCATAAATTGGCCTTTCATAATTTGTTTTTTCATGGTCTATTATGTGTTTTTTGTCAATGTTTCAATATAACACTACTTCAAATTATTATATTATTTGTCTATTGTAATGAGTCATAGTGAGATTATGTTGTTGTAGCCGCACTTTTGTTCAGCCCCCCCCCCCCCCCACCCCACCTAATTTTTTTTCTAGCTTCATCCCTGTTCTAAATTATATGACGTTTTCGCTTTACTAGATTTGAATACAGTATTGTTTTGACTATGTATTTAGACATAATATATATCTAAATATATAACAAAAATTGCGTATCCAGAAAAGCCGAAACATGGTATAATTTAAAATGGAGGGACTAATTTCACCACCTAAAAACTGTACACTTAAGTCTACTACGCGAAATTAGTTGAAAAGGACAAGTATAACGTTAACAAAAAATGACACATGCAATATTTGTGCTGTGGTTGAAATCTTATGTAAGTGTAAATCCTGTTACTAATTAGAGGTTCCAACATGGAGCCTCCATATAAATCCTCACAAGATATGTTAGAAAAATATAAATTCTCACAACAGAACTTTGGAATTTTCCCAAGTGATATGGGCTTCTCCTAGTGTTTTAGCATTCAAGTTTTGTACAAACTTTCCCTACTAAATGTCTTCTACTAAGATTCTCATGTGCTATTGGCTAGTGATAGCATTTTATTACTACTTAAAAACACTCGTTTGAATTCCCAAAATTGCATTTGTAGTATAAACTATAGTTGTGGAAGAAGAATTTGAGATTCCACAACTTTCCAAAGTTTATATATAAAACTATCTCAAATTCATAGTGTGGGTGATGAGAAATGGATTCCATGGACTTTTCTTTTCTAACTTAAGTAAAGTCGTAGACTCTTTTTTTTTCAAGGACTTTTCTTTTCTTCCGCAACGAATCCATGCACTTTTCTTTTCTTCCACTACTATAGTTTATACTACGAATTCAATTCCAGGAATTCCGAGATCCAAACGCCCCTAGGAGAGTTCCAATTTTTTTTGGTAGCGTCTAAAATTCTCATAATAATAATCATAAAATACTTGGGCCACATATCACGCTTCGTCTTATTTGGTACACTAATAAGCAGCACTAATACAAAAAATCTTAACAGAAGCGGGCAAAAAGCCTTAATGGAGGCGGTTTTTCCAACCACCTCCAACATAAGGTCACTGATAATCATGCATTAACCGAGGCAGTTTGCTGCCCGCCTCGGTTAATAAAATAAGAAAAAAAAGAAAAGGCCCATACCAGCCCTACTACCACCAGATCTGGGCCGCCCCCGCGCGTCCATGCCGTCGGATCCGCCGCTGCCGTGCTCCATCCTGCCGGATCCACCGTAGGAGGCCTCCTCCCCACCTGATGAGGGAGGGCCCGCTGCATGATCTGGCCGCCCGAAGCCGCCGCTGCCGGAGCCACGAGGATCTACTGCCTCGCGCCAAGATCCACCATCTGATCAATAACGAGGGAGATAGTGAGGGAGATGTAGAGAGGAAAAAAGAGGGAGATGGGGAGAGCTGACCTACCTCGGCATGCTCGTCGAAGGAGCACCCCGGGCCACCTAATCCGGAGGGAGGGGCGTCGCGGTCGACCGGATCCACCACCGCCACGCCACCGCGCCACAGGATCCTCCACCGCCACCGCCGCCATTGGAGAGAGGGAGGGTCGTCGTGCTTCCGTGCGCTGCCATTGGAGGGTCTAGGGAGGGAGGAGTCCGGCACTGGGGAGAGGGAGGGGGGGATGAGGCCACTCCCAGGGTGGGGGAGAGAGGGAGGAGTCAGGCGCAGGAGAGAGTAAGGGAGGGAGGAGGCCGGAGTGGAGGAAAGAGGGAGGACGGAAGGCCGGCGCTCGCGTCGTGAAGTCGTGAGAGAGGAGGGAGCGTGTCGCTCCAGTGAGTGCGGTGCTGAGGGGGAGAGAGTGTGAGTGATGAAACCCTAACTTACCTTCTATATATATTAGAGGGTGTGTATCGGGCCGGTTTGGGCTTTTTCCTTTGTTAGGGGGCTTGGCAACAATTAACCGAGGCGGGCCTTATAAGTAGCCCGCCTCGGTTAATAGTGCTACTTACGGAATATAATAAACGTCACCGTTAATAGATTTTGCGAGGCGGTTTCTTGTAACCGCCTCGGTAAATAAAAAGTGACCGCCTTGGTTAATGCCTCCATTAACTGAGGCGGTTTTAAGTGCTGCCCGCCTTAAAAAGATTTCCAAAACACCTAACAAAATCTTTTTTTAGTAGTGCAGTAACCAGCTCCTCTGTCTCCCTTTTTCTTCTTGGCATGTCGAGACATTAGCCAAACAAACAAGCTGCAGATTCCTTCTCTCATTAATTTGTGGAGATTATTCTCCTAGTAGCATTTTGGAAAGAACCTCGTATGTGTTTTTTCATAAATAAATAAATATAATAAATATACAATGATGAAGAGTACCGTGTTGACCTAGGATAGGACGGCAGGGGGGGTGGTGTCGTGTGTTGATCGATCACCCGTGTGCATGGCTGCATGCATGCCTTGATTATCGTTTTGTGACGACTGGTGTCGCCTGTTGGCATGCGATTTTGTCCTATGTGATCTGCCACTCTAATCGCGTGAAATTTTTGTATTTTGGTCTCTTTTGAAAACATTTTTTACAAAAAGACCTACGCCAAAACGTTTTCTAAAAATAGACCATTTTAGGCGTCTTAGAACATGACGCCGAGGTATGAGGGTCGGCGTCGACTGACACGACGCCGAGGTCTTGCCACGTCACGGACGACCACGGTCGACGGCGACACGGTGGCGCGTGGGTCCGACACGTCGGCGTCGTGTCAGCCAACGCCACGGGCCCAACCTCGGCGCGGCGAGACAACGCGCCGAGCTATTGGCACCATCCGGCGTGCGGCCCAGGCGGCCCAACAACGCATCGTGGCCCAGTAGCTCGGAGCTGGGTCACTTAACGTCGAGCCACCAGACTCGGCGCGGCCCGACTCAACGCCGAGGTCTGGTGCCTTGAGGCCGCGCCGAGGCCCCCTTCTTCTTCTTCTTCCCTCCATTATGAAGACCGGCGCCTCTCTGTCTCTCAAATCCCCCACGGCCCCCACGAAACTCTAACCCCCAAATGCGACTCTAGGTGCCCGGATCTTGTCTCCCGAAGCTTCCTCGAGGTAATGGTCCCTCCCCTCCTCCAATCTATCCGCGTAGATGTGCTTGCATTGTCTCTAATCATGTGGAATCATGGGTGTATGGTGTTTTGGTATATGTGTGTTTGCATTTGCAAAATGTATGGCTTAGGATGATTGAGTGCATTGTTGTTTAACTGTTTTATGTGCTGAACATGTTAGGTTAGTTTGGTTTCTAGTTATTTTGGTCATTAGGGTTCTTTGTTTATTGTAGGTGTCATTAGGGTTAGTTATTTGTTCGTCATTAGGGTTAGTATGTATTTTAGTTATTTATTGGTCATTACATTTCAAATTTTTATGACTAGAAATGATTATGTTGTTGGGGTTGAAAAAAAGGTATTCCTCTTTCCCCTCTTTCATTTCATCCATTTAGATTCGGTTGTTTTTGAACTTGGCATTATAGGTTTGGTTCATGTTCATGTCATTCATGCAATGTATGGTGGTTCAAATGATTGAATGACCCAAATGTATGGTTGTTGTTGTTGTATATGTTCTGGTTTATAATCATTGAGTTAAATTTTGTGTTTGTTGGGATTCAAATTTGCTTAGGGTTTGTAATGAAAAGCTTATTTGGGAGGTATGGTGATTTAGTGTTAGTAGCTTTACATTCGTTGCAAGGTACTTTGGATTGATTTTTTTTCTACATAATGTTAGGATGCCAAGGCGTGGTAAAGCTCGTATTCCAAGGTAATCCCAATGTTTATTCATTATTTGTGCAACAAATAGAAAACCCTAGGTTTAGGTTTGGTTCTCCTTTAATATGACTAAATTCATTCAATTGTAGCTATGGTCGCCAGAGGACAAATCCCTACGACCTAAAGCCTCTCCCTGAAGGTGTTCCTCGACCAATGTGCTTTTGTGGTGATCCTTGCAAGGTAGACATCTCTGAAGATGAGGAAACATATAGACAAAGGTACTGGATATGTCCCAATTATGCATGGGAACCTACAAAGCAACAGCGCCGTGCATCGTTTGTGAGGAATTTTTATTGTGTGTTAATTAATTTTCTTGTGATATTAAGTATTGCTTATTTATTTGTTTTGTAACAATTTGTTTTTCTTGCAGACCGTTCCACCACTGTGTGACTTTGAGCAGTGGATTGACACTGAGATCAAGGAGTCGGACAAGCAGCATCTAGAAGGCCTGAAGGAGTGGGATGCGGAGGTTAAGGAGAGGTTTGAGCAGAGACACAGACAGGAGTCTATAGAAAAGGAGCATAAGGAAGAGGAGGAAAGGAGGCGTGTTGCTGCGTACAGGGCGGAGAGGGAGAAGAAGCTTGAGCGTGTGCGCCGAGCGAAGGCAGCGATGGAGGAGAATCCCGATGCCTAGAGGAAGGGAAAGTGGCCTCGTTGCACTCAGTAGGTATTTGGTTTATTCATGAGCGATGTCGTGTAGCCCTAGACTTTTTTTACTATTTTGTAATACACTATGCTTTTATTTCAGATGAACTTATTCCCTGGACTTTTTTTATTATGTTGTAATGCACTATGCTTTTATTTCAGATGGTCTTATGCCCTGTACTTCGTTAACTATCCTAGGACTGTAGTGCTACTGTTTGTATCACTAAAAAGGCTACTTGTGCTGTTGCAGTCACTGAAAGGGCTACAAGTAGTGTTGCAGTCAATGAAAAGTCTATTTGAAAACTCGCTGAAAAGCCTAGATTCGTTTATTGTTGTATCCGTATACGCAATGAATTAATATCAGAGTGATGTACTGCATTTAGATGAAGTGACAAAACACAGGTGTAGCCTTTTCAGATGAAATGACCAGTCATGGTTGTAGGCTTTTCAGATGAAGCATCTAGCCTTTGCAGATTCAATAAATGAGTATGCACACAAGTTTTTTGTCAAGTAGCATTCATGGTGAACCTGCCTTTATCTCTATATATAGTGATCTATGTCTTACTCCACATCCACACAACTTGTTTTCTGGTTTAGTTTTAGCAAATGTCGAGCGGAGGTTCCTCGAGTGGAAAGGGTTTCGGCGGAGGGAGAGGAAAGGGGGTGAGGAAGGGACCTCCGATTGTGTGGGAGGGTTCTCTGGGTCCTGATTCTTTTGAAGAACCAATAGAGGAATTTTCTTTGGAGAGGAAGAGTGACTTCACCCATGAGAGACCTCTTAGATCATACGACAAGCGCATTGAAGATTGGCCAAAATGCCGCCACGGTTTGGATTGTGTTGTGCAGATGTACAACGACTGTGACGGTGGAGGCCGTCGTTTCTTCAGATGCCCGCGAGGATTTGTATTTCCTTTGAACTCTCTTCTTTTTTAGATTTGCATTTGGTTTGTAGTAGTACTTATTGGTAGATGGGTTTTTAGGATTCAAGCTGTCCAGATAACTGTGGCTTCACTAGATGGGTCGACCCTCTTCCTATCTATCCCCATCAACAGTACATCACATATCTACAGGGATGCATCTTTGACCTAGAGTATGGCCCTGGAAGTGGTAACAGGGACAAGTCGGACGACGACAACAGCAATGATGCAGAGGAGGCACTATGCAATAATTCGTACTGCCAGTGCCCGTACCATAAGAAGCACGGGCCTCCTTCTCCACCGCCACCGCCACCGCCACCGCCCCCGTCATTTGGGGGATACTGTGGGGAAGGCGCAACTCAGTTCAATATGTGGGATCGTTATTAGGACCAACCTTTGTTAGTCAATTCGAATATGGAATGCTTGTATGAGTTGTTCTTCTCAATCCCCTAAGGCATTCTAGGTCTAGTTTGCAACATGCCATTGTTAGTTTTCATGTGTGTGTAATCGTAGTACCTTTGTAACGTTTGTATCACTTGTTTCTTTCAATCCCTAAGGCATGGTAGGTTTAGTTTGTGACATGCCATTGTTAGTTTTCATGTGAGTGTAATCGTAGTGCATTCGCTATTTCATAAATTGTAGTTTACCTATCTCTAAGTTTCATGTACTATGGTTGATTTCGAAACTCAAAAAAAGATTTGACTCTCTCTAAGAATAGGGGATTGAAATCGAACATTACAAATGAGAATAAAAGAAATAATAAAAGAGTACCGAAAAAGAATAAAAAAAAGAAAAGGAAAAAGAAATAGAAGAAAAAAAAGAAAAAAGAGAATGGCGTCGAGTTAGCCCACGCCGAGGTAAAAGAGAATGGCGTTGAGTCGGCCCACGCCGACCCTAGGGTTTGGCTCGACCGGCCCACCAGGTTTGGGCTTCAGCTCGGCGCTGAATCGGCCCACGCCGAGTTTGAACACCAAGGCGTTGAGTCGGGCCACGCCGACGTTTGGGCCGCGGACATCGGCGTGTCAGCCCACGGCCCTATCTCGGCGTCAAATGAATAAACGCCGTTTCTAAAGGGTCGGCGTCAATTTACGACACGCCGAGCTTGGGCACCTCGTCACTTCGAACCAGCTGATTCCAGTATGCGCCATGGGTCGGCATTAATTGACTAAACGCCGACGTGCCTACCATCGGCGTGTCTTGATTTGACGCCGAGATTTGAGCACACAAAAAAAACAGAAATGAACATTTTAGTTCACAAGTGCACAGGTTGACAGAATTTCGCAGAATACAAAATTTCATAGAATACACATTCAACGCTGGAAACATAGTGATATGCTTCATCAAACATAGTCCATGTCGTTACCACACCGACATACACATTCAACATCGAAACATAGTGATATCAAACATAGTCCAAACATAGTGCATACCATAAGATACATAGAACATTACATAAGGTCGCACAAAAGAAGCATATGACAAGGTCTGGAGCTTTTAGTTCGTTCCTTCTCCAATGCTCCTTTTCACCTTGATCTCTCTTTTTCCTATAATAGTAAATTTTAACAACTTTCAGCGGCTATTGAGCTAAGTTAGGAACAAAAAATGAGATGTAACTTAACTAGCATATCAAAAGATGTTCGTTTAGATATTGAGCTAATTGGTGAATGCTAAAATTTGAGCCAAGTACCTTAACGTGGACGGCGAGCGTAATGCTTTCCCCTCCCAAACGGATAGGTACCTGGAGTGTACCTGTCCACTGGTCTGAGCGTCCTCTATGGACGTCCAGAACCGCAGGGGCCTTGAGTTCCTTGGGGTGCATCTTCAAGCTGGGACATGCCAATCTCATCATACTCATGCTCATAGTACTCTCCCTGTCCTTCATCATCATAAGGACCATGTCCTTGACCACCCTCTGCACTAGTTGCTGCACCATGTGAAGAAGAAGTCCCACCAACATGTGCACCATGTGAAGATGAAGTCCCTCCAACATGTGCAGTAGATGGTCCAGCACCAAGCTGTTGTGGGACTACCACATCCGGGGCACGTCTACATCCAAGGCGTGCAGCTACCTTTCGGAGGCGATGCATGGCACGCTGCATTTTGGAAGCACTATTAGTAAGTGGGGTTGGTCGCAAAACTATATAAAGATGTAACATCACTTGAATGACAGGAGGCTACCTGAATGTGCTGTCATAACATGGAGGCCTCATCAGGATCGCCCACAGGAATCATCAATGCCCTTCCTTGCTCGGCCACTGTCTTCATTATCTCCGTGCTCTATGCAAAAAAAACAAGAATTTAAGTCTCTATCACAGTAAAGACCTCAGAGATGGAAATAGTTGTGTCACTTACAGCTCTGGCTAACGTAGGGGCGATCTCAACTTGCCTGCCTTCTCAGGTAGCTTGGTCATATGGGTTGTTGCCCTCATCCTCGCTCGCGATGTCAGCAATGTCTTGCTCCGTCCAAGCGGGCCTCAATTGAAGCCTTGTTCGTTGACCAAGCCAAACAAGGTAATCATCGAATGCCTTGTCACGATGGACGGCGTGGATGCCCATGTTGTTCTGCTCAATCAACATCCACTCATCAATGTAGCGCTGGTGCTCCAGCTGCCAGTTGGTGATCTTCTTATTTTTTTGTCTACTGAACCTGCAAATTTTACACCATAGCGGCAATATGAAGGCCTACTCAATGATTCATTCATGTGAAACGAACAAAATATTGCATGTTATGTACTTGTGGAGCTGCCAACCGGTGGAGAAATCCTCAGGCGGAGAAGGCTGCAGCCTACCAAACTGCCATGCTACACGGTGAGGGAGATGGTACTCCACTGCATAGAAACAAATAAGGGGGTCCTCATCGTCTAGACATCCTCGTCTGCCATGCACAAGGAGCTCAAGTTGAGATCCATGACTTGCCTCCGCTGATATGGGCGCCATTGAACCTGTACACAACGTCGTCATCAACTAGTCGACGCTCAATTTGTGCACATATCCTCGATTAGGCCAAAAGGGTGGGAAACTTACATGCTGTGGCAAAAGGGTGTCCAGCTCGTTGGTGAAGCTGATGTACGCATGGCATGACACGTGGTAAGTTCCGTGGGCTCGCTCATAGAGGTGTGCCACGGTAGGGGCGACAACTGTGTCTCCTTGAGGAAACCAAGGTTGTGGGGGATCAAGCTGATGTGGTCTCCCAACTGGAAGCCTCTCCCACATCCAAATCTGCAAAAAAGAGTGGAAACTTGCATGTTAATCACTTTTGTTAAGAAAAAACATTGAATTGTAGTGGAAACTTGTACAACTTTGCTTTATTACCTGCAACAGTGTGATGCACCCTAACATTGTAGCGTGCGCGCCTCTAGGACGGCGGCAAGCCTCGCAAAGCTGACGGTACAGGAAGACAAGTATAGCCGAGCCCCAACTCCAATTGCTAGCATCCTCCCAGTTCCAAAGGCACGGGATGTACATCCAGGACGCCGTGTCTCTAGTGCCGTTAGGGAAGAGAACCATACCAAACATGTGCAGGACGTAGGCCCGACAGTAGTATGTCACGGTCTGGGCGTCTATGTTGGGTGGGCACTCCCGAAACTGCTGACGAAGCCACCTCAGGGACACCCCACTGCTGCGCCGTTTCTTGCCAGCCTCAACTGCCGCTAGGGGCCGTCCCAAGAAGTGCTCAACCCGCTGCTGCCATCCTTCAGACTCCGTGTCTCCTGTCACTGGGAATCCTCGGATTTTGACTCCAATGATCATGGCAACGTCCTCGATAGTGACCGTCATCTCCCCGCACGGTAGGTGAAAGTCGTGTGTCTCCGGACGCCACCGATCTATCAACGCCGTCAGCGCCACTGGGTTGAAAGGTGGCGTGCCTCGACGACAAACACGAGCAATGGTAGCAAGGTTCGCCAGCTTCAGGAGGGGCGTGTACCTCTCGTCGTAGACCATGGTCGTAGAGGCCTCATGTGTCATTGGCCTCAGCACATTCAAAACCTACAAAAAAAAGACAAGCATGAAAAAGTATTAGTTCATGTCACTTTATAAAGAGCATGGACTATAGAGCAAAAGATGAACAATGCACTGTTTCATACGAATTATTGAATATATGTCTCCGTTCTCGATCCTCCGAGCCCGGTGGTGCTCATCGAACCTTGGATCAAGAAGGGGGAACCGATCCATCCTGCAACATAAGCAATGCCAAAGCATTAGTATAAGTTAAAGCATGTGTATGTGGTACGAAGTAACATAAAAATAAAAAAAACAAAAGTAAACCAATGTACTATTACACAAAGCAATTCAAGTAGCTAGCTTGGTGGATACCTGTTGTCTAAGTAGTTAAGGACATTTTCTCTTATTGTGGCCCGTCTTATGGCAACCAGAGCAACGGCTCTTTTGGGTGTCCTCTACAAAATGTCTCCCAACCTTACTCATGGTTGATCTACCTTTCATGACTCGGTCCATGTCCATCCTGAACCGCTTCCGCCACCTAGGTCCTCTACTCTTCCAGAGTAAACCAAGATCAGCCACATACTTGGGGCCATCATAAGTAGTCCATTGACTCTCGTCAAGAAATGGCTCAAACTGAGGATTCCAGGTGCTCATTAGGTTCCTCAAAGAGAACTCCGCGGATATACGGGGAGGGACCTCAGCGTCAACACGTCTAAGGCGACAGGCTGTAATCATGTGGGAGCAAGGCCTATGGTATATGATCGGTTTTCCACACGTACACTTGTTCTCATTGATCACTACTTTATGTTTTCGAGCACCCCGGTCTTCACCACCAATGTTAGTTCCACCACCCTCTAGAATCTCATATCCGTGGTTGATCGGATCAAAACATGAACCCTTCTATCGTTTAGACTTTTTCTTTGAGAAAGCTAGTTCCTGAGATGCTAAAAGTGGCCAAGCTTTGCCTGCTATCCATAGAGACCTCGCATGCTTCTTCCTCGAAATGAACCAAGAATTCAACTTGTAGAAGGTGAATGAGGCAATAGCAGTCACAGGCAGACCACGACAACCTCTTAGAAGGCTGTTGAACATCTCTGCCATGTTACTAGTCATGAAGCCCCATCTTCAATCACCGGTGTCATATGCAAGTGACCACTTATCCTTCGACGCCATCAACTCGCTCAAGAATTGTCTGCCATCAACATTTGTGGCTAACTTCAGGGCATCTAACTTGTCTTTGAATAATTGAACCTCTTGCTGCCTGCAAACCTCCTCAAATAATTTGAAGTTGTCCTTTGTGTGATCACGCCTTATAAGATTCTGAGCAAGGTGTCTGGTGCACCACCGGTGATGTATTTGGCCGTAACCAAGAATCTCTTGTTCTACGGCATTCAGAATGCCAGCATGCCTATCGGATATCACACAAACATCATGTCCCAGACCAATTACCACTTGCCTTACTAGCCTGAGAAACCAACACCAACTATCCGTGTCCTCCTTCCGAACAATCGCAAAGGCCAATGGCACAAGCTGGTCTTCTGCATCTGTCCTAATACAAATAAGCATTGTGCCTTCAAATTTCCCTGTAAGAAAGGTCCCGTCAATTGAGACAACGGGCCTGCAATGCTTGAATGCTTCAATGCTCTGCCCGAACGCCCAAAACGCCCTTCCAAATACCTGGCTACCATTCCTTGTTTCACCCTCCTTAGGTAAATACTCGAAGTGCATCCCAGGATTTACAGCCCTCATTGCGTTCAACATTACAGGGAGGCGCTCATAAGCTTCTTCCCAATTTCCAAATATTATTTCCAGTGCACGCTGCTTTGCCCTCCATGCTTTCCCATACTTGACATAGTAATTGTACCGTTGGAAGATGATCTCAACCAACGCAGACACCGTAATGGTTGGCATATGCTTCACCACGGGGCATAACCGCCTTGCAATGAACCTAGAATTGAGCTGCAGATGGTTCTCTTCTGCCTCAGCAGTGGCACAAACATGTGGTTGCTTCACTGAGGTAATCTTCCATTTGCCTGCCTTTGTCTTCCTAGCACATACCCTCCAACCACACTGTTGTTCTTCACAAGCAACAGTGTATCTCTTCTCCTTGAATGAATTGATGACCCTAAAAGGTCGGTTGTATACAACGGAGTACTCTTGCAACCATGATTTCAACTCATCCATGGTAGCAAACAATATGCCCTTCCGTATGATGAGGCAACCGCTAACATCAGGCACTGTTGTATCACTTGGCCCACCATCAGCTACTGCCCTGTGACCATGGCTAAGGTCCTCGAAATCACCAACTAGTGGATCTCTCTAAGACAAGACCCTAGACAATATCTCTATTTCCCTAAAATTGAGACGACCAACAGGGCGATCGTCATCAGAGTCTTCGGCTATCTCCTCTACGAAGGATTCATCATCTCCAGCTATCTCCATGTCAAAATGGTTCGTAGCCCTAGCATCACCAAAGTCTTCTTCACCACTAAGATCTTCTTCGTCGCTAAGCTCATCCTCAATAGAAAAGTCTCCGCTAGCATCGTCCAAACCTTCTTCTGCATCACCAATTACATAATCATCATCCTCTTCATCACTATCATGATTGCCCTCACCATCGGCAACCGGATTCTCTTCCTCATCTCCACCGTAGCCTAGTTGTGTGACAAGTATTTCTTCTTCAGACAAAGGACCATAACCTATGTGAGCGGGGGGAGATGGCCATGCTTCGAAGTTATCATTTCCTAAGCCGGACTCCTTACTTACTACTAAATCCAAAGATCGCACTTCTGAGGCCAATACAACTGCCTTGTAATCATTCCATTCAGTCTCGCTTGTAATTTTGAGCAACCGCTTGATCCGAGGACCCTTCGATGACCCAACATCTATGACACCTTCAAACTGAACATGCACGTCTCCTTCATTCCAGCCTAACTTAACCTTCACTCGCTCCACTAACTGGGTCAAAGATGGTGTTTCAAAAAAAATCAACAACTCCTCACACATGTCCAGAAATTCCAAACTATCATCTCTTGTCCTAACAATACGGCCTGCATGATGCAACCTCACTAATTTATCCATCTACAGCCATCACACAACACGTAGTGTCACATATCAATATATCATGCGAGTTTCAATCCAATAAGTAGAAACTAAA